AAAAAGGAACTTAAATTATGGGATGGAGAGAGGACGAGGTTACACACATTTACATTTATTAGTAAACTATGAGAGAACAGGATGTGATTAGTACAATTCAAGCTCCCGATGGACAGTCATATTCCATCGCCCAAAAGTAGAAAATTATACTAACTTCCCCATCATTAAGCTTTACTAAAGGCCTGGATAAAAATAAAATCCATGATTCTCTTAGACATCAAAGCACGCACTGGATTTTCTAGAGGAGAAGGTGACAAACTTCCCTGACACTGGAACTAGGCCTTGATGTTTACAATTCAACACAGACATCATGCACAGAATAAGAAAACCATGATAAGACAAAGCCCCTTGAGACCTGTGGTGCAGCAGGACAGCCACAAGGACACTCTGCAAACCACAAAAATGACTAAACATCCCCCTCTTTTGATCAACAAGAGTGACTACTGCTTCTTCATTAACTACAGCTATTCACACCTTAATCTTCCTAACACCTAGATAAATTACAAAGATGCCCAGTTCCTATAAAACTGTCCCTGTGAACTGTCCTTCCTTAAACCCTCCTTGTGATCACCCAGCACAAGCCCATAAAAAGCTCCTCTCAATTGCCTCTTACCAAGACACCCACAGTTCCGGTGGCGTGCAGTCCTCCTTGCTGCAGAAAGCAAAATGAGCCTCATGTATATGAAATAGGTTTGTTTCTGGTGGTTCTTGGCTGCTGGACTTTAACAGAAGGCAATCCTGACAATTATTTGCCCTAATGTCAGACCATGGGTCCCTTTGGGGCTTTGGAAATTCAATCACCATAACTATACTTCTCCATCAACAAAAGGTGTTTGTTCCTGAGAAACAAAAATTTGAGATTACTGTCAAAGAGTGACTATGGACAAGAGCTATCTACTTATGTGAGTCCCTAAACCCCCCTATACACACTACTTCGCCTCCCTGAATATAGACGGCAGAACAGTGGTAGTGTCAGTGGAGGCAGAAGCAGTGTATAGCCTCATTTCTTTCTTAGAGTTTCCATTAGTTCACAAAAAAGAAACAAAATATTCACCATAATCTAACAAATCCCATTTCAGATAGAAACACATTTCCAAACTTGACAAATAATCATTTGTGACTTGGAAAAAAAAAAAAAAAGCAACTAGTTGTTATAAAAATATCTTCTAATATATAGAGATCTAAAACTAAAATTTCACCCTCAATGGCCAAGTCCACTTAAAATCAAGACACTAAATAAAAATTGTAATGACAATAACACATTTTTGAGTACTTACTATGTGCCTGGATTTGTGCTATTTTACATACATACATTATTTCATATCATCTATGCAGCAACCCTTTCAGAACCAATATTCCCATTTTACAGATGAAGAAACAGAGGTTCAAAGGAGATGACTGATTAACCTAGGTCACATACCTACTGATGGCAGAAGTTGCAAAATCCAAATGTCTATAATTACAAACTCCAATGTTACCAGATAGATTGCTTCTCTTGAGTGTGAAAATGAAATAACACTTTTCCTTGAAGTGATTATAAGATGTGATTACAATGAAAGCAGTTAAAAAATTAAAATTATAGAGCTCTACCTAAAGTGTCCTATGGTGTCACGATTTCATTTTGCCACAGCAACTTCATTTTTACTATCCCATTTATGGCCAAAAGCTATCAAGAAAAAGTTGTCTTTCACAAACTACTCTCTGTATCAACCTACATCCACATTTTAAAAACCAGTTGATATATAAAGTATCTGAACGTAGTCTTGAACTTTTTTATAAGCCTCTCCTTTCTGAATTATCCTCTTTCTAAAAAGGAAATAATACATGTGTGAACAATGCATGTGTGAAGAGAATTTCAATGGGAAAGCATTATCCCTTTTCCCCAATAAATAACATAAAAATAAAAGGACCTTTAAGAGACACTTTTGCTAACAGTTCTTTTCTGAATAAAATAAACAAGAGCAAAGGGCACCTTGACTACTACTTAGAAGATAAAGTCAGAACACAGGGAAATCTGTAATTCTGATCACATTTACACCTTCTCTCCTTTTTTACATTTCTCATCCAAACATCCTTAGGAGCTCAATAGGCTTAAAAGAATTGGAGCAGAGTCGAGAACAAAGGTGAGGGGAATCTGAGAAACTGCTTAAATGGCCCTTCTCACCATCTTAATGATTTCAAATTGGGTAAAATAGTTAGCAGAAGATGTAAAAGTCACAAATGTAGGAAGAAACTGTAGAGAAAGACAAGTACCATATGATTTCACTCATATGTGGAATTTAATGAAGAAACTGAACTACCAAGCAAAATAGAGACGGTCTCATAGATAGCAGGCCTACAGCTGTCTCTTATACACATCTAGATGTGTATAAGAGACAGGAAGATATTCTTATCNGAGAGAGAGGACTCATGGAGAGAGGGCATCAAGGGGACAAATGGTGATGGGAAGGTTTAATTTAATTTAATATTTTTTAATAAAATAATTTTTAAAATTAAAAAATAAAAAGTTATTCTACCAGCTTATATTATTGTTTTTAAGTATTTTGGCTAGACATCCCAGACATTAACCTTTTGTGAACAAGAAATGCAAGAAAGCACTAAAAAATAAGCTTTCAAGGAAAACAAATATCAAATTTAAATGTATTAGCTTTTGTCAATGAAAGCCTATGTGCTAAATAAATACATTTGTTACAGAGAATGTTAATATTTGTGCTCTCAAGTGGAAATGACTATTTGTATATTAACTATGCTCTCTCTTGAAATTGAGGATAATTTTAGAAAATAAGATAGCCAACTACTATACTTAATCAAGCTAAATGTTATAGAACATATAAAATATAAAAATAAAGAAAAGCATTTATGTACCATGCGGTATGTGTGGTTTACTCAATTTGGGAATGAAATTTTTTTTTAGTGGGAAGAAGAGAAAGATCAATGTTAAAAGAAACAGTTCAATATTTCACTTAACTATTCAAATGAAAAACGACCAGCAATACGGAGACAAGAAAAATACAGAATTACATCAAATTCATATGTGAGTGCCTCTTGTTGAGTGACTCTAATTCAGAATAATATTTTCATGTGGCTTTTTCTCAATGCAAATACCAAAGGAAGTTAGCACTTCTTTCCACCAGCACCACTGATGTCCCTAAGAGTGCAACCCTGCCCAGCCCCGTTAGTAGGTGCTACTGTGATTCCCCCATCACCTTAAGCCACAGGGCAATACAGGTACCAGCAACGGGGAAACAATCCAGAATGTCTGAGAAAAGAAGGTGGTTGCCACCCTGGCTCGTGTGTGTGTGTGTGTGTGCGCGCGCGCGTGCACGTGTGTGAGATGGGCATCAAACCCAAATAAGTACAACCATTTCCTTCTCTGCAGGGCAGAGCTTCAGTTTCTCCTTACATACTGGTAAAATACTATAATATTCTGTAAAGTTCCTCTTCCAAAGAGATGAAACACACACGGTGCTAGAAATGTAACACCTTGTAGTCAACGTGTTGCATCCAGCACATACCAGAGATACTGAGATATGAAAGGTGTGTGTGAAAACATTCACTGAACATAACCGCCAAAATTATGGCGTATGGGGGGTAAATCTAATAATGCGGGCGAGGGTTTCACAGCTCAGTGTCCTCACTGTGTCCTTGACCCCAGCACACACCCTGATAACTAAGGTTTTATTAGCTGCAGATAAGTGACGTTTATTTTTTAATGAAAAGAGTGCACTGAAGTAAGAAAAGGTTTAAAGGGGGTACTATTGCCATATACTGAGAATTTCAACTATGTTGTTTCAAATAGTACAGAAAAAGCAGCTAGTACCAAACAGACCGTCAAACAAATATTTGTGTTTGTTTTTAAAACTGGTCACATAAACTAAAAGGGACTCAGTGTTCCCAAATGCCTAGGTTGTCCTTGTAGGATGACTCCAGAACTGAGTTCATGACCAGCAAAGCAGTCAAGCTAAATATCTGCTCCACCGTGCTAAGAGCGAGTCTCGTCATCCTAAAACCTCGAGCAGAAAACGTATTTTACACCCAAACAAACATCCTGCGCAAGTTCTTTGTCAACCCATATGCTCGCAATGCTCGTTAGTGTTGGCTTCCTGGTCAGGGCGCATTGCTCCAGGAAGGTCTCGGCTCCAGACACCTGCTGTTGCCCGTGACAAATGAAGACCTGTTCTCCCAGACCTGCTGTCAGCGGGAGCTTCTGCCGGGAACGTGCGCGGCAGCGGCGGGCGCAGGGGACCGCGGTCGCAGGGCGCTTCCAGGGAGCAGTTCACTGTATTCTCTCCCCTTCGGTCTTTGGTGCATCTCTTTCCTGATCACTGGCTCCCCAGCACGTTCAGTCTGATCGCCTGTTGCCATCACCCCTTTCAGGAGTTGAAACTAACCAGGTGATTCCGAGGGACACGCTGCCCAGTTCGGGTGCCAGCAGAGGGCTGGGTGCCAGGGCGCCGAGGGGCGGTAAGGGCCACGCCAGTGTGGGTGGGTGCACCGGGTCCCAGTGCTAATTTCAGAGACCCGCCGCCCTCGTCAGTGCCCCGCTCTCCAGCAAAGAAATGTAACGCAGGTTTGTGTTTTTAGTATCAAACTTGAAGCGACCTACCCAACTCCTTCCACCAGTTGAGAGAGCGGCAAACAGGGTCCCCTGGGGGGGCCCTGGTGAAATTCCCACTCGGAACCGCTGGCCGCCTTCCTGGCCGGTTCCCACGCATCAGCCGAGACTGAGGGAGACCTGGCGGCGAGCAAACGCGCAGAGCTCGGATGAGCCGCCGGCTACTCCCACCGGCAGGGAGACCCCGACCTGCTGCGCGCTGGGGATGGTCACACCCAGCTTCCCCCGAGGCCTCACCGGGATTCACCTTGCGCGGCCGAAGGGCCTGAAAGGTCGCCCTCCCACGAAGGGCCACCCCCGGAGAACGGGGCGCGCAGTGCGGGCGCCCAGGACGCCCCGGCCCGCGCCCAGGCGCACTGCCCTGCGCCCGCCCGCACGGCCTTACCTGGCCTTGGCGAATCCGGCAACCCCTTGACCGCTCCCACCAGGCGCCACTGGAAAAGTTTCCGAACTTCTTCGCAGCTCTGCACGTCTTCGCCTCGGGTAAATACTACGAGAGCCAGGAGGAGGAGACAGCAGCAGCCCACACGCCAGGTCGGTCTGTCCATCATCGGTGTCCTAATCACCCCTTTCCCCACCGTGGACGCCACTCTCCCCGCGCGCCCCGGCTGAAGGCTCTGGAAGAGGCTCGGGGTGGAGGCTCCCAGAGGTGCTATCCGGCGGCGGGCGCTCCGGGACCGCCCCGGGACACCGGCCGCACCTGCGAGCACTTAGCTTTCCCCGGGGAGCCCGAGGCTGAGACGCCGGAGTTCTCCGGCAGAGCGCCGCGGGGTCTCCCTCTCGGGGGGGGCGGGCGAGCCGGCGCAGCACCGGCGAGGAGCACGGCTGCAGCCC